TCGTTACATTCGCCATCGTCCCTCTCATTGTCTGTACCTGCGCTTGGGTTCAGAAGCCTGTAAAAGTGCAGTATTTTCAGCGCCCCAAGACCATAAAGTTCCGAGACGCTGATTGGCCATTAAATTCACCTAGCAAAAGTACATGATTGACAGATTCTCTGCAAATGTGGGGCTGTCTGATAGGCGCCCCCAGAACAGAGACGGTAGGAGTCTGTCTGTGGAAATCCACAAATTAATGACAGTAGGTAGGGAAATGTAGTTTATATAATTTGTTTTGCTTATAGGTACACAGTCTAGAGAGTAAAACTGACATTTATGATTTAATTTCTAAAAATATATTTTACGTTTCTCTCTTCTTATCAGGGAGGGCGGTGCCCCAGCGCCCCCTATGGGCCGGCCGCCACTGGTCTGGAGACTCTCCGTTAAAGAAAATTTGGAGCCGTTCACCAAACGAACGTCCAATCAGCGTTGACTTTGAGGCGGGTTGAGGTGTGACGCAACGAGAAGCGCGACAGTTCAGTCTAAAGAACATGGCGGCTTCAGCCGATGAAACTATGCGTTAGCGTGGCTATCGAGCAAGTTTTATTGGAATTACAGAGTATTTCTTCACTGAAAGAAGAGCAAAACACTGCTCTGGAGGCTTTTCTCAGAGGTTTTTGCTTTTCTCCCGACTGGTTTCAGCAAGAGTAGCCTGGCTTGTGGTTGTGTTTTCGTCATCGCTCTGTTAGTACGTCATATGCTTCGTTGATCTGATTGGTTTATTTGGCCCGTCTATCACCAACATAGGCCAATCAGCTAGCCAGTATTTTCGCTCCTTCCCAAAATTACTTCTACGGAAGGTTTCCAGATGGATATGCAGAGCAAATCCATCTGGTGGAATCAGGTTAGGAGACAGTGGCATTCCTGTCTCCTTAAAGCTACTATCTAAGTGATACCTTTTTTGTAATTTTTACTTGTATTATTTTATTTGCATCTTATATATTTATTGAACTGTGAGTCCAGAATAAATCTATCTATCTATCTATCTATCTATCTATCTATCTATCTATCTATCTATCTATCTATCTATCTATCTATCTATCTATCTATCTAATTAGCTTAGAGTTAAATAAAATTGTTTAAAAGATACTCTTTAAATATTTTGGGGGAAAAAATTACTTATTATTGATTTAAGTGTTTCTTGTCTTTTCAATGTGCATACTGTGCACTTAGAAATAGGAATTAAACTCTATCCACACTGCAAAAAATGTAAATCTAAATAAGTCATTTTTGCTCAAATGAACTGCATTTTTTCTTGAATTGAGGAGGTAAGTGAGACACTTTGCCAATGGAACAAGACAATTTACATTTAAAATAAGGAAAAAAACAATTGCTTTGTCTTATTTCAAGTGTATATTATCTAATTATCTTATTTTAGGAGTAAAATGACTTATTCCATTGGCAGATCATCTTATTGACATGCTCAAATTAAGGGTAAATACACTTAATTTAAAACATTTTTTACTTATTTCTAGATGTTTTTTGCAGTGCAGATACAGCAAAAATGTTTGGGTCCATAGCCCCAAAACAACACGTCACACAAATACTTGTTGAAAATTTAGCTTATTTTGGTCTTATTTTGTCCCACTTCAAGTCCAATAAAAGACGTTTCAACGTGGGGAGGAAAAAAAGACAAGACCTTTCAATTTGTTGTTTAGATGTAAATCATGTGATATTTTCAATGTCTTTTCAGGCAGTTTTTGCTTGGTGGGTACAGCCTGCTTGGTTAAAGTGTAGGATGTCCTTATAGGTAAAAGCAGCTGCCTGTTCTGACTGGGAACACCAGGGGGTATTGCTGTAATGTTGTTTCTTACCTGCCTGATGAAGCGCTTCTGTATTGTGGGCTCTGGTTGCCAAATTAGCAACAGTTTGCGCAAACATCAGCCTGGATTTCTGGTACTGCTCAAAAACTGCAGGAAACAAAACAAGTTAACATGAATAAATCTACCATGGCTGAACCCGCGTCACTCTGTGTAGACAAACCTGCCAAGGATCTCACCTTGAACTATTTCTCGATGAGTCATTGTATCAAAAATAACTATAAAAAAGATCCGATTTCAACTATTTTTCAATAAAATGTGTATCCGCTGCAGACAGTTAATAGTAACTGATTTTAATTTCGGTCTTAAAGCCGTTATTCTTAGCCGCAGCTGAGTATAACTGTGCTGTCGTTACTAGTTGCCGTAGCAACACAAATAAGTCCATGCGCCCTGTTCCTGACAAAGATCGTCTATGACAAACATGCTTCACTGCGGACCCTCGCCTCCTCCGGAGATGACTTATTTATTCAGAGTGAGACCTCTTTTATTGCGGGTTTCTCTAAAATGTTTACGTGTCTCTCACTTTCTCCACACCTCTATTATTTGCTAATTTAAAGGAAAATAAAAGTAAATCCATCCAGCTGGTTAAGCTTGAAAAAACCACGGAGTGCATTACTGTGCGTTTCCAAAGATGGAGATCAAAGAAGACACTTGCTGATTATCTTTTTTATGTATATGTAATTGCTTTTGAACGCACTTCTGACTTGCAGGAGCAGGTCGGTGTCTCATAATCATTCACCCTAATCAGAGGTTATTTTAATGTCTGTTAAATGTCGAGAAAAAAAAGGCTAAAAAACAAATAGCCTATATAAACTTATCCCCACTTCATCTGAGCTGATAGCTCTACCTTTAAGTTAATTAAAAATCAAGACAAATGAAAAATCTAGCGTAGAAGAAAATGTAATTTGTATTTTTCTATTAATTTGATTGAACAGAACAGCAGATAAAGGCAACATTTCCAACATTCAGCAAGGTGGTAAGGAGTATTTTATTAAATAAAATAAATTCCATCATTTTATGTAAACCTCAACCTTCCCCAATACTTTTCAAAATGTCTTATTTATTTATCTATTTTTTATGTTAAAAATAAATGCGTTTAGATTTCAGCACTGTATTTCCAATGAAAGAGATCTAAAAAAAACTCTTGTGAGGTGGAGAAAAAGGGTCATATTCAGAACAAAGTTTCAAATTTTTAGATTTAAATATAATCATTCCCGTTTTATTTCCGCTTTATGTGCTTTATAGAAGAACATTAGACTACGCTGTTATGGGGAAAATTTAAGAAAAAAAAAATATTAAGCTAATAAACCCATTAGAAATACTTACATTTCAACACAGATATTTAGAGGAACTAACACTTTGGATAAATTCTACATTGTGTGTTGCTCTAAAAAAAAAAAAACTAGATCTATGCACCATATTTGAGACCTCAAAGTAAAAAAAAAATACAAAAGCAAACAGATCATAGGATAACACAGGGACAATCTAATATAGGCTCGCTTGTTAACCTCGAACATATAATGTTGTTAAAGTGCTTTACTTTAAAACACTCGAAAAGATCTGGTAATACACTTAAAATACGGGAAATCTAAATAAGTCATTTTTTTCTTAAAATTTGTGAATTTTGTCTTGAATTGAGGAGGTAACTGAGACACTTTGCCAATGGAACAAGAAAATTTACATTTAAAATAACAAAAAAATGATTTCATTGTCTCATTGCAAGTGCATGTTATTTAATTATCTCATTTTAAGAGTAAAATGACTCATTCCATTGGCAAAACATATTATTTACAGATTCAAATTAAGGGTAAATACACTTAATTTAAGACATTTCTTTACTTATTTCTAGATCGCTTTTTCAATGTAAATGTCCAGGAAATAAAGAAGGTAATTAGAAAATGTCCCGTGTCGCAGAAAACATGGAGGGCATTTACCCCAAAACGATCGATTATCAATACTACGGAATATTAAGGGTCGCTCTCTGCGCAGCTTTTGTATATAATATAAAACGGAAAAAAATAAATAAATAACTGCATCAATTTATATCAGTCGATTTTTCTACAACTGACTTATTCGTTTTAAGGTAAAGATAATTATAACCTAGGCTATTTATGCACTACTTTTATTTTATTTATTTATTTTATTTTATTTCGGTATGAAGTAATTTATTTGCTTAAAATAAAAATCTAACTATGAACTTTCGAAAAAATCTGTTTTTGTATTTTTCTCAAACTATTCCAATTGTCTCTTCACTTTTTGTCGGTTTTTTCTTTTCTTTTTAGCGGAAAGACGTAGCAAATTAGATGGCTTATTTAATTTTAATAGATTTAAGTTTTATTTTAATCAAAAATACTATGAAATTAAATACAAAAAAATGCCTTTAAGATAAACTGCAAAAAATTATAGACATGTAGTTATTTTTTTATGCATTTTACGTCAAATGAATTTTCACCTATTATTCCACAACGCAATTCGTTGATAAATTAGCGATGCTTACGTCATATCCGCAGAAACAAGCGGACCCCTGATGTTTGGCACCGTCTGCCCATTTCAGTTATTTCTTTTATTTGCTTTTTTCTTTTTCTTTTTCCCCATTGAAACTGTCAGATCTAGGGATGAAAAACAGAAGACGTGTTTTTTTTTTTTTTTTGCATAAGTGTAAAATGTTTTATTTAGATGTTTTATACTGTGCAACAGTAACAATACGGTAAGTTGTTCATACAATTGAGCGATACAAATAGGCTACAGAAAACAGACATGAAAACATTTGTCAGAAATCGAAGCCAAGTCCTTCCTTTGGAGCAAGAGGCAGAGAATAACACCATGGGCTGATTAAATATCAACTTTGTCTCTATTTACACACAGAAACCTTTAAAAGACACGAAAGACGATCAGTCCGGCTACAAGGAAGTTTTTTTTCCGAGTAAAAGGCAGAAATGTTTTTTTTTTTTTATTATTATTATTATCATTATTCCTCCCATTGAAGCTTCCCGCTTTACAAACTCCTCATGTCCGCAACATTTCCCAAAAGTTTCTTTCAGGACAGCAAAGAGTCACAAAGAGCATGCGTGTGTAACTGTGCTTCAAAATATCCCAACACACATGAAAAAAAATAAAATAAAATAAAAACAAGAGAAACACCTTTAATTGAAGTGTCATCTTCAGTCACTTCTGTCAAATAAAGATGTAGCTTTTAAAGGGGATACATATTTCCATCTTTCTTCCCTCCATTATTTTCCTTTCAAAATAAAATTTCCCACTTCTGTTTTTTTTTTTATGTTTTTTTTTGTTGTTTTTGTTGTTTTTTTGAAATGTCTCTGATTCCACTACTTTTAAACGTACAAATGATGCCATAATATTTAGAACGACGAATGGAGACAGAAAGAGAGAGATCATCGTCTACACAGTGGAACTACGTTGGCATGGAAACCGAAGGAGCGCAGCGGCAGTCTGACGTCAGCAGGCGGGTCCCGGCGTCATCCGGACGACGTCGCCGAGCCGTTCAGTGAGACCTTCCGAGGTTTACTGCCACCGAAGTGGGGGAAGGTTCGGCTAGGGGTCTGAGCTCCAGCCGCGGAGCTCCCGTTCACGCTGCCGATGTTGTTGCTGCTGGGGCCGTGCGGGAGCTGAGGGTGCGGGGAAAGAGCGGGGGTCCCGGGGCTTGGCAGCGACGAAGAGGTGGACGGAGCCCCGGTGGGACTCCCTGCTTTGTCGCTGGCGGAGTCGCTCTCCGGAGCGGATCTGCTAAGGCTGTTCTGACCCTCTTGGCTGTGGTTCACCTTCATTTTCTTACAGTTGGGTCGGACCCGGTACTTCAGGGGCAAGGGGCCGTTCTGAGAGGAGGAATGAAAAGATAATTATGTAAAAGTCTAGAACCATGATTGCATTTTTGTATCCATATCAATATAGATCCGTGTAAATAAAAAATATTTAGACTGATCTATATAAATTTATATATACACACAAAGTTATTTTTCAAAACATTTTCTCTGCCAAGATATGTTAAACACTTTTCAAAAAAAAAAAAAAAAAAAAACGTATCCTTAATTCCTGCGCATAATAAAATAGTTTATTTTATTTATTTGAATAATGTATGAATTGTACGATTGTCCTAATTTATGGAACTTATTTTAAAACTTTTTTTTTATTTTGTCAAATAAGACTTTTCCCTCTCATTTATAGAAGGAAATGAAAGGCAGGTTCATTCATAAAACAACATTCAGTAGAAATACACTTCTTTATAGAAAAGGTCCTATCGCGTATTTTTCAAGCTGTTTAAAAAGAACTAAAAAAAAATAAACTTTAAGTTCCAAACAGCAGGTCAGACCGTCGGCATGGAAGGTGTTAAATTAATAAAAAACCAAAAAGGAAACATAGATTAAACAATTACTAATTAGTGGAATATTTTTGCCAGAATTCTAAAGAGTTCAGTTAAATAAGAACCAAATATTATTATTTTTTTTTTTTGTATATAAAATTGCAATAAAAGACATTTATAATCAACCTACATGATCCCCCAAAAAATATATTTTAATTTTCATTCTATGAATCCATCTTTGACTTTTTTTTTTTTTATTTGGAATCCTAGATTACAGCATATTTAACACATCAGTTTGTTTGTTTGTTTTGGCACCTTCAAAAACTGATCAGATAAATACTAAATTTCTGATCCCTGACGTCTTTAAAAACAAAAAGAAAAGAAAGAAAGGAAAAGTGAATTTGAATCCTTCAAATTGCATCTAAACCACCCCCATTGAAAAACTGGGGGTTTAAATTTTTTTTATAAATTAATAAATGATCTAGTGACTAATAATTATTGCCTTTTAATTTTTTTATCAAACAGTAACAACCATAACAAAACACAAACATAAATAAAAAGTTAAGTTGTAGTATGGTAATCCAAAAATAAAGAGCTTTATCTTCATGAATAGAAATAAACAACAGCCCAATTATTTTTTGCAGACTTTTTGGTTTTCTATTGTTTTAGATATTCAAGTAAAAAAAAAAAAATTATCTAACACTTTTCTATATTTCTTTTTTTTTTTTTAGCAGACAAAGCGTAATTATCAGTAAAATACCTCTATTTGAATATATAATTTTACGACTATATCAACTTCTCTCCCACCAGACATGTATGCATGTTAAGAATAGCTTATGGTTTGCAAATAATTAGACCTATAAAATGTATACGACATACTTCATTATTCCATTGACTGGTATTACACCTATTTAATTTTAAATTAAATTACTTGAACATGCTGGAATTTACAGCAAATGCATTTATAGAAACATATACAGTAGATTTTAGGTCACTTATCCACAGGATGTCCAAGAAAACATCATCTTACCCTTCTCCAAGTATAGATATACGCTATATCCATTAATGTGTAGTAATCTTTGAGAGGCTCGTCTTCATACATAACCTCAACCTGGAATAAATGGGGAAAAAATGGAAACTCGTTTAATTAAATGTAAAAAAAATGAAGTTATCCGTCTGCATTTATATGAGAGTATCAACCAAAATAAAGAAAAAAATATATATAGATACACTGATACCTGATATGTGCTTGGGATGTCCATCTTGCTGCGCAAAAACTTCCTCAGATGCTTAACTGTCATGGCGGCTGGACACTGCAGGTACCTCTTGTTTGCCACCTGCAGATCCACATAGCATTATATTATGTTGCATGTTTTTTTTTTTTTTTTATAGTGACAAAGCTTTGAGCTTGCAAATATGTTTATATACATCTCGGATGGAAGGGAGCAAATGGAATCTGCATTATACCTGATCTTTTGTCTGCTTGTCTTCCACTCCACCTACAAGTCTATGAACAAACACAAACACACCGCTGTCACATTGCTGTTACTTAAAATTCTCAAAGTAAAATGCTTTACATAAGCATCTTCTTCTATTTTCTGCAAACATGATTGTCCTTCCTTGTTTTTAATTTTAATATTAGAAAAGCCAATAACTATGAATTTGCACCAATGTTGACTTGAATCTCCTATTTAGAAACCAAAAAGACCATCAAAGGATGATATATTGGAAAAGAAGACATAATTTAACTGCTAATTTCTCTGGATTATAGGAAATATGTGTAACGTATTACTTAAAACAAACATTCTGTGTGTTAGTATATGTATAAAAAATGTAAGTAGAATAAAGTATAGCCTTTTTTTTTTTCTTTTTTTTTAAGGGACAGCAAACAATGAGTGTAAAATTATTATATATGATAAAGCACACAACAAGGCTGGCTTTTAAACCAAGAAAACATCCATTCAACTATCAACCTTGCTCAGTAAAGCTTATAGAAAATTCAATTTTATGCATTTAAACCAGAAGCTCACCTGGTCTGATCAAAGAACTCAATGGAAAGACTGATGATCTCATCATCTGTGATTATTCTCTTATCCTCATCTGCTACCTCTCCACGGTCCTCATGTGAACCATTGGATGCTTCAGGACAAAAAGGCAAACAACACGTGGCCATCATGCAGGGGACAAAGAAAACCATTAACATGAACTAAGGCTGGAAATTTAACTCACCATCTACGGGATGCTCTGCGTAAAAGTCCCTTCTCCTCTTCATTTCATCTGCAGGAATGACCACAAGTCAAGTAGAGCTTTATTTCTCACAAACACACAAACAATGAGGATTTCTGCATAAACCAAAACTAATTCCACAACTAATTTGACAAAGACAAGGGGGGGGGGGGGTCATTTCTATTCATTTTAATTGTTTTTGAATAGAAAAAAAGAATACAAATAAAAACAGGTTAATAACCCCTCAGATATGTAATAGTTGACTCTGGGAATTTTCTTTGCTAAACTTATTTAACCACAAGCAACAAGATGTTGTGATGACTTCCCATTTCGCCACACAACTGAAATCAGGATAGCTTCAGATAAACACTCCTGAAATATAGCATCTTAATCAACAAAAGAAAAAAATATATAGAGGAGGAGGCCACTAAAATATCAGTATTTTACTGATCTAAACCATCCACATGCTGTTATTTCTATAGATTTATTTTGATAAAGACAAAATTTAAACTTCCTTACTTTTGAAAAGGCCCGGTACCAGTTTGTACACAATATCCTGTAAAGTTTTATCAGATCTGCAGAGAAAATTTGAAACTTTGGTCAAATGCAAACAAAAGATTACAGACACACCAGGTTTTACTGGTTGGATGAGCCGATAAATTACAGGTTATATAGAACATAAGATGATGAATGGCTGATTCACCTCTACAAAAGGCACAAAAGAAGTAAGACTAATAAAAACATGAGAGAAAAAAAAGACAATGCTTTTCATATATGATTAATAAGTCAAAAAGAAATAAATGGACACACCCAGGAGCATGCTTTCTCACCTGATGTTGAGCAGGGGTTTGGTTTTATGCACTTGTACATCACAGATGGGACAATATTTGCTGGTTTCCAGGTAACGCACAATGCACATTTTACAGACTGCAACAGAGAAAAAAATCTTTCAGTATGAATGAATGCATCAGAAAAGGATTTCCTGAGTGCCAAATGTGGGCCAAGGGACAAACACTAAAGTATCACTCACAAGAATGGAGGCACTCGATGATTGTGGTTGCATCTATAAAGTATCCTCCACAAAGGACGCATATGAGGTGAGGGTTGAGCTCGGTGATCTTTATCCTGGTGGTTCGATGCATGTTGGCTGAACTTTACAGAAAAAAAAGCAGAAATCCTGCATGGGGGGAGCAATAGGATATAGAAGGAAAGTGTCACAATGGTGTAGCATTTGGGGATTATCAGTGACAATATAACAAAATTAGGTGATCTAAAAAAATAAAATCAATTGGCAACTGTGCAATAGACTTAGCTTGTGATATGCAAAGACAAACTGTGAAGAAATGCATCTTAGGAAGATCTATGCAGAAGCATGCATGCAATACCATTTGCTAAAGGTTGTTTGTTTGACTGTGTTAAATCAACAGGGTCTCTTATGCTAATTCAAAAATAACTGAAAGGAGAGGAGTTCTGTGGCTGATTGATAGGCAGTGAGATGGTATTTAGGAGGCTGTAAAATATCATAAATCAGTCGGATCATGGAGAGATGGAAGGCTTGGGTCTTTGTAGCCATCTTGAGCATATATTTTACCTAAAGAGAAACATAACTTGTTGGATCCGAGTGTTCTGCTGATTACATTTTGGGAAAGGATCAGTTCATTTTGCTCCCAGGTCGCCGAGCAAAGGCAGCATTTGGCTCCCCAACCGGATGTCTTAAATCCAGAGAGTTCATTTCATTGCTCTGTACTTGTAACAGAATAATGACAACAAAAAGCTGAAAATATATATATAAATATTTTTTTCACACTGCAAAAAATGGAAATCTAAATAAGTCATTTTTTCTCAAATTAAGTGCATTTTTTCTTGAATTGAGGAAGTAAGTGAGACACTTTGCCAATGGAACAAGACAATTTACATTTAAAATAAGAAAAAAACACTTGCTTTGTCTTATTTCACGTGTATATTATCTAATTATTTTATTTTAGGAGTAAAAATACAAATTCCATTGGCAGATTATCTTATTCAGGTGCTGAAATTAAGGGTAAATACACTTCATTTAAGACACTTTTTGTACTTATTTCTAGATGATTTTTGCAGTGCATGCGTTCAGTTGCACATGATTTTGGATTAAACAGCTACACTGCAAAAAATATCTAGTAATAAGTACAAAAAGTGTCTTAAATTAAGTGTATTTACCTTTAATTGGGCAGGCAAATAAGATGATCTGCCAATGGAATGAGTATTTTTACTCCTAAAATAAGATAATTAGATAATATACACTTGAAATAAGAAATGCACTTAATTTGAGCAAAAATTACTTATTTAGTTCTAAATTTTTTTGCAGTTAGAGATATCTGCTATATTTCATTTTCTCCGTTTTTAAATAGGAAAACAATTACATCGCAGCAACCTTCAACCCAGCCTGCAGAAATACATAAATAAGGGCATCGATTCTACGGACAGACAGGTTGAGGCGGATCAAAGCCCGTTTGAAGGGAGGTTAACTTGGGGGGAGACGATACCAGGCTCCCGCTGCTTGCGTCAGGTGTGCCACACAGGCTGGGGGCGCGTGGAGGGAGGGGGGGACCTGGCCGTTTCTATGGCAACTCCCTTTGCTGTGAGCCCGCGTGCAGACTAACCAGTGACCTGAACGAGACAGGATGTCGAACCAAAACAAGAGTCGGCGAAGCTGCCGATGAAGCTGAGCGGGTAGGAGGAGGAAGTAAAGACCGAGACGCTTTCTCTCTTCGTCCCCCTCCGCTGCTGGACTGCCAGGCTGCCGACAGCACGGCTGCCATTTTGTAGAGGGGAGAAAAAAAAAAAAAAAGAAAAAAGGAGAAGCTCATATCGGTTCAGCTGGGCTGCGGGGTTTCCTGCCAGAGACAGGGGGCAAGCGAAGTCCCGCATAAAACCCGCAGCTTTTTTGGGCTATAGAGAGCGATAGGCGACGGTGTCCCCGCCGGAGAAAGACTTCGCTTTGAGCAGTCGTGTTGTTCTCATACTGTGTGTGTCTTTGTGTGTTTGTTATCACGATGCAGCAGCAACATGGCCAGACAGCAGCGGCTCAGCCCAAGTTAAACCCGCAAAACGAAACACATGCAAAAAAATAAAATAATAATCCACAAGCCTGCGCACAGACCGCTTTTTTTGCTCTCCAGAATCAGTCACACACAGCCTGGATATCAGCCCATCAGAGCGCATTTGTTCAGCAAACACTTAACAGAAGCAAAGTTGTGGGAAAAGCCCATCCCCTTTCTGACAGAGCCGATCCAAAGGCTCACTTCAACCAGCAGTTTCTTTGGTTTGGAGCCAGCAGCCACCACCCATGCTGTTTACTAGTTATGTATTTATTCAACAATGATTCCCCCCTTTTTAAACCACCCTAAGCCAAGTTTCATAAAGCAAAAACAGCCTTTATAAAAGTTGACAGAAGATACACAGAAGCTCTGATTAGATGGAAAATCATGTTTCAATGCAGCCTTGGTGCTGAGAAAGATGGATCAAACTGAAATATATGTGCTAACAAGCTTTTAAGGGGGAAAAAGGCTTCTAACTGGATGCCTTTAGTTGCAAATATGAATGAAGGTGTGATCACAGCAAAGAAAGAAACATAAGCATCAAATATAATAAAGCCATGTGTTAATACAAGGAAATTAAATAATTATGAACATTTTTACAATGCATTACTCATTCCTGTTCCACTACAAACAGTGATAAGATATAGGCTTTATATTATAAGAATCAAAAGGTTTATCTGCTTAGTTTGTTTATATTTCACAAAGTAAAGAGGCAACATCATGCTGGATTAGATGCAAGCCCTTTATAGCAATGTGGGCTATAACAACATGCTTCAGTTGATAAATAACAGTGAACATCACAAAGTCAACAGCTGTTGTAGTTTTCCACGGGGAAAAAAACAATAATAGTAAAATCATAATAAAAAAGCAGGATTTAAACCACTCTTGTCCCACCATCAGCACCACTGCCATGACCTCCCCACCTCTGAGGCTCACCAGATCCCTGATCGGACAAGTTTGGACAGCATCTCTGCTCCAAAGGATGCCGCACACCCGGATAATGATGGATAATGTCCGCTTATATGCAAGAGGGGGAGCTTGTTGCGCCATTAATCGATCGCCTGGTGTTTGGACAACTGTTCTCCCTTTTCTGACCTGTGGGAGCGGTGCTATGTGCTCCCGTTATTTATATGACTTCATCTCCATGCACACAGAGGATCAAATAAGGAGAATAGAGCCGCTGTTCTCTTCTGTGGCTGGAATTTTATTTCTTTTAAAGTGTTTATAGAATAATAATAGTAAATTAAAACACTTCAAACTGCAAATGACTGAATGATCCAAATAGATGCTTCTTGTTTTTCCCTCAAATGACTCCAGATTTCTTGAAAAGTACCAAAAAGCTCCAAAGTAATAACCCATGAAAATACGCACAAGACGCAAAAAAAAAAAAACCCAAAGCTTACTACCCTATGTGAGAATAGATCTGAACAGAAAAAATATAGAAAATATAAAAACTGGATGCCATGTTTGAGCTTTAATTAATACAGCCAATCTGTCTGATGATATTTTTATATAAGAGGGCTATAACCTTAAAAAAAAAACCCAGCAACAATGGTGAAATGAGCTGATTTTATCTGAAAGCTTTAGGAATGCAGCTTTAACTTCTATATAGAAAACCCACTGATTGCATGCATTGAATTTCGATCAAAGGTGAGAATGTAGGATGTCAATAAAAGTCACTAACGTCATGTTCTGGTTATAAATTCTTGTAAATTTAACACCGCTTTGCTGGTGTTTTGGAGACGCAGGCTTCTCTTTGTACCCAACCCGACGTCTCGCCGTTGGATGTTTTTAAATCTACCAAAAATCCAACCAACCAATCCAAACAAAACGGTACAGAACCGGTGAAGAAACGCACATAGTTTTTGATTCTTCAACGATCAACTCTGTACTAAACAGCAGCAATTAAATAATTTGCACACAAATTAAACGTTTCGCCTCAATGGCACGTTTCCGGGAGCCATCCATTTTTAGTTAAAAAATCCAAACCTGGGTGAAATTCTCCAAAAAATGGAATGTCACCCGCTTTGAAACCCTTCCAACATCCCATCTCTATAAAATAAAGTCCCTGCGTGGGAATCTGAGACCACACGGAGCGTTTGAAGCACTTGCTCCCGCTGCCATCTCAGCCGAGCCAGCCTGGTTCGCCTCAGCTCTTTCACTTTACATAAATCCAAACGACGTAAAGCAAACCTTAACCGAGATCAGGCTTTACAGGCAGATGACCAACCCATATACCATACGTTCCTGATTCAAAGTGGATGATAATTGTCTTTTATGGCCGAGAAAGAACGCGTTTTTGCAGCGAGAAAGGGAGGAAAAGTAGTGCGCAGAGACACGCTGAGCTCCACGTCGGTGATAAAGCTCCACATCCACCGCTGGAGCGGATCAGCGCGGAGGGAGCGACAGAGAGAAGGTGGAAAAAAACACAAAAGCACACCGCTAAAACGTCGCCTTTCACCGCCGATGGATAGAGAGCAGACGTACGGGGACAAACCTGGACGCTTGGCTGGCGATCGACGGCTCTCGACGCGGCGGAGACAATGAAAGTTGGCAGGCTGATCAGCAGAAAATGAATAGAAGCCGAGCCGCCATCTTGAAGCAGGGCTGCAGACGCTGTCAGTGGCGGAGAGCGCACGGCGGAGCGCAGCGCATTTCAGATGCGCCAAGAAGAGAAGGAGGGAGGGGGGTGTGTGTGTGCAAAACTCCTCGTATCCCCCCCTCTGCTCCGTGCGTATCCCGATCCAACAGAATCCAAATGCGTTGGTTCTGACAGTTTCCACTTCGGCACTGATAACTTTGCCTCCAAAATATCCGCTTCACCTCCAGAGCCGAAACGCAGCCCTCTCTCTCTCTCACTGTGTGCGTGTGCTCCGTGGAAACTGACACCGTCCCCAAAATGGCTTATAGTTCGACCGCCCCGCTTTGATCACGTGATCTGTTGCTTAAAGGTGCCTGGGAATTACTGTCGGTGTATTCACGTTTCCCCAAAAATATCCTGCGTGGTGACATGAAACATAAGAAAACCTGGACGTGTGCACATGATCGCGTTTTTCCCCTCTTTTCTTTCTAAGGAAACCAAACGTTGCTGCAAACTGAGTCGAAATTATTAGCTGCAGAGAAATTCGATTTCGGGGTGTTTCTTTGAGACTCCAGATACGATCCACATTCACGCACTTTTCTTTTTTTCTTTGAGCTTGACAAGAGGGTTAATATGCTAACGGATATGGTGCGCACTCGTCGTTCTTGTTAAAAATAACCACAAGCCCCTGCCCTCATGTGGACTGGCAGAAGGCAGCTGCTTTATTAAAGCTCTACTCTAAGATCAACGCACTAACAAATGGCGTCAAACCTTTGCCACTGGCTGCAAGAAAAAAAAAAATGCGCAACAGCGTTCTCGAGATGAAGCTGAAGTCTTGATCCTGCTTGCAGGCGGACAAACATGAGGGAATCCGGGATGTTTATGGAATGTGAGCCATAGTGCAGCTTCAAAGTGAGGAGCTTTGAGTCTGCAACTGAAAGGGATACAAACTTACCGGGAAAGGGGGAGGAATGCAAAGCAATTAATCCAAAAAAATAAAGTCCAACCCTTTAATTGGATGGCAACGGAAAAGACAACACACGATTTCAAATTACAAATATATATATAGCCTATATATATGTGTCATTTTGCAGTCCAGTGTTTATGGAACCAATTAATGCTTCAAAAAGACGTGGAGTAATTGTGTGGATATTATTTCAAAGTTTCAAAGAACAAATGCAACAAACTTTATTTGTCAAACATGAGATTTTATTCTCCTCGCCAATACTCGTGTACAAAATCGTAACCAACACATTTAAACAAAACAAAGATAATGAGGGGGAAAAAAGTGTAGTGAAGGTTTTGTAGCTGCAGGGCGTCACATCTGACTGGCTTTCTCCACACTCTTAGCAGCGTCTTTTAACTTTGCCACCAGATCCTGGAAAAAAAGAGCAATCAAGGATCACCTAATCAACGAAAAGCAGAGATATTCTTAATTGGCCCGAAGAGTCCGACATGGAGATGAAATATTAATTTATCCAGGTTCATAGCTCCCGATTTAAAGCATCAGCACCCCGCTTTCTCAGGATTATGATTTATGTTTTAGCTTACAATTTAATTAAACAGTTAAAAGGACCGACACACACTTCGATTTAAAAAAAAATCCGATCTCCAAACACCGTTTTGTGCGTAAATCTTCAGCTTCGGGGACTTCTCCACCTAGAATCCACCTTTCTTTTATTTACCTGCAGCTGTTCGGTTGTGCAGGTAAAGTTGACATCCTCCGGTGACCCCTCATTCTGAAAGTAACCAAACAAACAAACCAATAATCATAATAATTAAATGTGACTCTTTTGGGCACCGGAGCATAACGCAGCAGCTCAGTTACCTCGGTGTTCAGCGATATCAGGTAGAAAGGCTCATTGATCTTATCCAGCTGCCCGTTCTAATGGAGAATAACAGCGTTTTTAGAGTCACACAAAAATGGAACAGCTTCAACTACGGTATCACAGCTCTTTCTACCTTCATTTGGTACTGCAGACGCCAAGAGACGTCGTGAACGTGAGGAAGACGTCTCCCTATGCTGCAAGAAGGGAGAGGACAGAGCTTTTTTTTAGCAAGTTGCGTGCATTTTTAATGGACCGCGTTGCTTATTAATATGTAATAACATCTCCTGATCTATAGTCAATTTTCTACATGTCTGGCAGTTAGAAAAAAAAGGATTATATTTCTTTATTAAGTTCAGACAGATCTAAAAAGGAAATTTTCAAATGGCACAAAAAGAAAAGCAAGTCAAAGGAGCTCAACTTGACCCCATTTCATTTCTTTTTTCATTACCTGCCAGCAGACACTACCTCTTTTGTTGTTTTTTAAACACCTTTATTTAAAATTTTGTGTATATATATATTTTTTTTTTTCAATCATGAATTTTGATTAAAAAAACAGTTTGCATTTCCTTATGAAGGTGTGATCATGATACTTTTCCCTCTCTCTCCATTCCAGATGTAAATGAATGAAAACATTGCTTATATGTTCTCTTCCAGCTAACAATTTATCTGCTCTAATCTCTTCACTCTTCTGAAATGTATTAAGCAAGCTCTTTTCAATGGAGCTTTGTTTTCTTCTATATACTTTGACCATTTTAACCTTAACTTTGTCTGCCCAGATGGACAGCATCCTGGAGACATGTTTGTTTTGAATTTGAATCGTTTTTAGCAACTTGTAGGCTGTAATGTTTATAAATTAGTAATAACATCCCCTACATGTCCAGTCAATTTTATATGTGAGAACAAATATCAAGCTTACGCCCCTGACACAAAAAATCCTAACTTTGTTGAGTTCAGACATATCTAAAAATGTCATTTTTTAAGAAAAGCCAAACGGTCAAAGGAGCACAATCGACCCCATTTCATTCATTTTCTCCTTACCTGCTGAGTAGACTCTCAACCTCTTTTTTATGTTTCTGTAAAACAAAAACAAACCCCAGTTTACCTACAGTCACAACTGCAACTATTAAAAGCTCTTTATTACAAACAAAAAATAAATAAATATATTATCTAAATCATCTGACCTGATGGGTGGTGAAGAATAGTTCTAATCTTTCTGGGCTGAATGTGAGCTCCTCAAGGCAGGAGCTGCAACAGGGAAAAGCAACTTTATTTTACACTTTTAAAAAATGTTTCTGAAGTGATTTTATTAAAAATTGCATATGTATTATATGTGTTGAACGTCAATGAGCTAAGAAAAAGTTGTATTTCCTTATGAAGATGTGAACAAAATACTTTTCTCTCCCTCTCCATTTTAGCACAGATGTATACATGGGTGAAAACATCCCTTAGTAATTAGCATATAATATTCTAGTTACCAATTTATCTGCTTCAATTTCTTCAATCTACTAACAAAGTTTTTTTTTTTCTTTTTCTTTTTTTTTTTTTAATGGAGCTTTCTTTTGCTATAGATTTGGACCACTTTGAAAGTTAACTGTCTGCTCAGATGGACAGCATCCTGGAGACATGTTTGTTTAAAATCAGAATGGAAAACTGAAAATAAATAGTCTTCTGCAGTGGGTCAGTTATCAGTGCCAAATGTTCTAGTTGAAACTGTTTTTAGCATGATAGATGAGAAAATGCCTGAAAGTTTTTTTTTTCTTAAGTTGTTTGCAAAACTGCTCTCTTCTAGTTGCTCCATATTGCCAGTCAACTGGCTGAAAGCTGCTTCTGCACCTGTATTTGCTTACAAGGAAGAGAGATTTGGTTGCTTGGAATTATATCCAACTTCTTCCTCAAAAAACAAACAAAAAAAAGGAATGGCATGGAAACAAATGTATCTAACACAGCGACATTAATAAGAAAAATTGCCTCAATCATTATGTCGTCTAAATGTATAATTTAGCTATTTATAACAGGAGTAGGAATGTCCCAGGCTTTTCTGTTTTAAATAACATTTTAATAACTTTATCATTTTTGTAACCATTAGTTATACTCCTGCCAACAAAACCAAAATGGATGAGCAAAAAATTACAATTACTCCTACCTAATGAGCAGTCCATCCTCCTGCATTTTATGTAGTTCTGTCCAGAATAATCTGATTTTATCTCAACCTGCAGTCAGCTTCTTAATTTTTTAAACACTTGTAATGCTGCCTGGTCTTCCCTTAAGAGACTTAAAGAGAAAATCTTATCAGTTGAGTTGATGGTGTAAAACTATCTTTCTTTGAAATCTGAACACTGCCTTTCATTTCCCCTTTCTTTAAACAGTCTGGCGTGTTTGTTTTGTGCACAACACCCTTTGATACACATCTGTGCAGCCCATTCAAACAGAGGTTAGCAAGATGCACATCTACATTTTTGATGTGCACAGCCTGTCATGGAAAAATCTCATCTTATTAGTCTGTACATAACTAGGAATTTGAGATTATGGAGCGAACCGAAAGAGTGATGCATTAAAGTGAAAACACCACGGCTGACAGCCAACTATATTAGAACCAGAAAGCAAAAGAACAGACCACTCAGCCATTTTCAACACAGATTCCTGATTTTATTTGAGGCCAATTCCAGTTTCCACTGTTCTGCTTATTTTCAGTATTATACATCATTTAGAAAATAAGTATGTAGGTTTCTCTGTAGTGTTAAGAGTTTCAAATCTATCAAAAAATGTAAAAAAAAAATAAAAACAAAATAATGATCCCCATTGATGCATCAGCAACAGGAGTTTCATGAGAACTTTTGTCTGATTTTTTGTTTGTTTTACAGAAATGCAGAGAATTCACTTATAGAGTTTGTAGACTTAAATAAAAATGAAAGTTCTTCAATTTTAATGTATTGGCGGAAGACCAATGTCTTCCAGTGTTTTGCCTGCCTTTCACCAATTAGTCTATTGGTGGAAATAAGTCAGTTTAATGTATACAACATATTTATTTCTAAGTGTTGTCTCTTCCACACTCAGACAGAACGGTGTAGCTCACTTTGAACACTCTACAAAACTTTTACATTATTAAAAACAACCCATTTCCATCCAACTGTTGTAATTTAAAAGCACAATCCCCCCTGTAGCCTATACTTCTCTTTATTTTCTCCATATAGACTTGGGGTCAACTTTATTTATCCCTTGGGATAACTCCTGCAGGGAAATTCTGGTTATATAGAGTAAAAAGAGTTAAAGCAAGATGTCATTAAAGATAAAAACATGACAGACAATATAAAAAGAATGTATATAGTACAAAAAAGCATAAAAAAAGAAAAAAAAGTTGTAATATCCAGGAATATGTTTCCCTTAGATATAAAAAAATATCTGAGAGAGTTAAGGGAGGACTACACTTTGATTATTTCACCTGCAGAGATGTGCATGTTTAAAAAAAAAGATCCAGACCTGAAATTTGGCTCAAAATATCGAAATATTTAGTAAATTAATCCACCGGTTCCTGTGTCCCCCCTGCGTGAAGCTGAAGGACACCGTCATGTGTCTGCTGGTGCCATCCATACCTTATGGAGGACTTGTCGGCGTTGTGTTTGACCGCCTCCAGGATGAACGTGGCCAGCGCTGCGTGGATCTGCTTCACTTGGATCCTGTCGATGTGCTTCAGTTCGGGCTGATCTGAAACCAGAAGCACAGTGAGATGGATGCTGTTGAAAGCAGCTCGCTTTCCACACATGCTGGAATAGATTGGTGCTAATGTGATCCACAGCTTCTGCTCGGGTTCTCCCAGATTGACGCGCGGAATGGAAATCAATGATGATTTGCATGTGAATGGACCCCTCAGCTGCATCAGCAGGGGGGGGGGGGTCCTTTGTTTGTTTGTGAAGATTTCATTTCCTAAATTATTCGCACACTAATATTAACTGACATGCTTTAAAATCATTTTGGAGTCTAATAAAGGATTATATAGTTTAGTCGAAAATAAAACCCAATGAGAGCGCGCCTGATGTGCGCGCATGATCAGATCATTCTAACAGGGGTTGAAATACTCTAATATATTCCTTATGATGTGTTAAATAGCCTTGATGGCAGTTTAAGATGCTAAAAGCTTTTCGCGTGGCCGATTGCTTCAATGAATCCAAGGCAGCAGAAGAAAGAAAAACCGAAGAGCGCCTTAAAGGCTCCAAATGAGCGATTTTCTTCGCACCAAATTCCAACTATTGGAGGTTATTCTACATGAAGGAGGACAGATCCGGGGTACAGGTGCCGTCAAAAACCGCAGACGTGAAGTTTTCAACAGAGAGAAACCGGAAGAAGCGGAGACAAAAGCGGCTGCATGGGCGGGGAGAGACATCGGCTCACCGAGGATCGCGGGGTCGGCCCGAGACGCGAGCAGACCCCGGAAGGAGACATCCAGCAGCACCTGGAAACTGCCGGGATCCACGACGGACGGATCGGCCAGGAGCTGCAGCCCCCTCTGCACCGACTCGCTCAACTCCATCTTGCAAAAAGGGCGCCACGTGACGCATCAGCTGATCCAGCGCGTGGAGAGGAGAGCAAAGGCGCGCGGGGAGGGAGAGGGCGAGGGAGGGGGGTCTGAGCAAAGACATATTACAGAGAAAGCATGGGGGGGGCACCAATAAATCACCGGGGCTGTCAGCAGCCACAGCTCTGGACTAGGTCGGTGTTCTGGTGGCTGATTCAGCTCATATGTGGTTTGTTTACATGTTCAACACATGCAGCACAGTGTTAAAAGCAAAGATGAACCAAACAGGTGGTTTCCAATAACCCACCCTCACTACATCATCCAAACACACACAGGCTATAATAAGCAGGGAAATGCAGCTCTGTTTACCTGCAGGGCTGCATGAATCTCACATTCATCCTGTCAATCACCTTTTTCAAATAGAAACATTCAAAAGAAAAAATCTATTACCTCTCTTATATGTTTTCCCCCCTAATAATTGGCTCAGTGATAAATACTGATCTGCTGTCTTCAACACAGGATCATGGTGACCGATTGAATTGCTCTGGTTGTAGGAAATGTCTTAGGTTGATGTGAAAGTGTACCAACAGGTTATTTATCAATGTAAAGAATTTGGTTTGTAGTCCATATGCAGAATTTATCTTGTGTGTAATAGGATTACCCCTTACCCCCAGCCTGCTCTGCATACCTAGAACCAGAACTAAACATGGAGAAGCAGCGTTTAGTTCCTATGCTCCACTTATCTGGAACTAACTTCCAGAAAACTGTAAAAGTGCAGAAAGCCTGAGTTCTTTTAAATCAAGACTAAAATTTGTTTGGGATTGCCTTCGACCGTTCTAGTTAAACAGTTCAACTGAAACATCATTATTTCAACTTTTTTATTTTCTTTAGTCCAACTGTTTTTAATACTCTTTTTTTGTTTTTGCATTTTTTATTTTATTTCATTTTTTCCTACTTGCTTTGATTCTCTTTTATTTTCTTATATATTTTAATCATGTAAAGCACTTTGCATTGTCTTTGTACTGAATTGTGCTATACAAATAAAGTTGCCCTGCCTTGCCTTGCCCTTAAATGAAGGAATTTAAAGAGTATACTATTTCTATTTAGAGGGTGTCTGGGGGATGTGCATTGTTTATAGATCTTCTTTAAGAAGCAAAATTCAGAACTGGAGTCAACAATTTTAATAGCTTAACTTAGTGTCCAAAGGGGTCCTATTTTTCTAAAGAACATTTGTCTTTCATTTTAAGCTCATAACTGAAATGGAACTGCTAACTACTGTTAAAGGGGAGAGCTCTTCGCTTCATAATAAAATTTTTATATAATGTATTATTTAACCTCAGCATTCGGAATTTGAACATAGTGGTAGAAGGGCACACCTTGTGCTGCTGAAGATTAAAGTTTGGCTTGGCTATTTTTTTTTTTTTTTATCTCTGTATGCTACTTTGTTTTGGAAAAAAGCAACATTTGCTATACTTGGACAGAGCTGACACATTTGATTACTGACCTTTAGGGTTAAAATAAATAAAATAGAAAAAAATAAACTTGCATTACATCCATAAAGCCTTGTCGGCTCAATAATAAACCAATAGCAGCCATCTGATGGTATAATTGTTAGTGCATTAGTCTGTTTTCGGTTCAAGACATCACCTCAGCAACCCTCATACCATTCTCTTTTCGTGTTTCATTCTCACATGTCACTGTGCAGTTGTCCTTTGTGGGGGGGGGGACTTCCCTACAGTCTTGAGGCAGTCATAAGCTGAGGATCAATTTTAGATCAAAGCAGCAGTACACACAGTCTGTGGCATGATGTCACCCCAGATTCTCCATCATAATCTATTCATTCATGTGTATTTTAAGGTGTGCTTTAAAATGCTTCATTTAAGGTCTAATTTCTAGCATTGGGTTACGGGGCTTTTTTATAAACATAAAGCAGTGATAACATTGACTTCGGTTTTTTTAGTTGTTTTATTCAAACTTAATTAAAAAAAATAATAATAATACTCTCTGGGATGTTGTTGCTTTTCAGCAATGGGGTTTAAGTCTGATGGCAGAGGCTATTTTGTCATTGAAATGGTGCACATCACTGCCTTGATTCCCAGCCTCATTTAAAGATGCATCATTTTGCTGTTATAGAGAGCTTTAATGGTTAGGATGATTATGGGGGAATGAGGACGGCCACACACACACACACACACACACCGCAGCAACTATCGGACTGACCTCTGACTCTGCGCTTTGTCCAAAGTCCATTCTGGCTCCGGGTTGTGAAATAGATTAGCCTCCTCTGCCTCTCTCCCTCCTTGTTGGTGTGTGTGTGAGTGTTTATATATGTGTTGGATTGGGCCTATGTCACTTTTTTCTGCAACATCCATCTCTTAAAATGTGCTGAACTCCTTTTCATCTGGTTCAGAAATCTCCTCACTAAAATACCTTTGGAAATGACTCAGTATACAGATGGCTGGTGACTTGTTTCGATTACATTAAGGGCTTTAATGCTACCCATTACAGTTCAAAATAACTCATCAAAGCCATTGTTAGTCATGATACCAATGTTCAAATGGCGGATCATTAACTAATAAAGTTAAAGTCAAAGAAAAATCTACAAATTTGCATGCTCTGTAGGTCCCATATGCCCCACTGTTTAAAGCACGTTTATATTAGAGGTAGATGAAACTTCCCTTTAAGAGCGGGCTGCAGAATGTGCAGTCTGTAAGGAAACCAGAACAGACAGTGTGCTACTTCCTGGTTCAGATGAGCTGTTTTTTTAAGTTTGTTTGTTTACTTGCTTTTTTCAATAATCAACTTTTTTTTATCAAAGCTGGTTCATCTGCAGATGAAAGGAAACTATACTGAAACCAGAGCACACATAGACAGATCTAGTTTTGATGATTTTTTTTCCAAATGCATGACCCCGTATTATTTGTTTCCCCTTTTTCTAAATCGGTCATTAATCTGTCTCACTTGAGTAGAATATCTATACATCATTTTTATATTATTCTATTATTTTTCTTCCAGGATTAGGATACATTGTTGGGTCGTGGTCCAACGACAACCTAAAACTCTGAGTTTGATATTCAGTTTACACCTTCCCTGTAAGCTTTATGGTCACATATTCAAACTGGAAACAGCAAACTAAACCGATTTAAACATCTGGTGCATTAGCCATGATCATATGATAAGAGTGAACAGATCAGCCTGAGCTGCATTATAGTACCGTTTCTAATTGGACTGAGCCGGCTCTATAAGAGACTGGTTCTACTATTGTGTTAAAATGACTGGATTGCATGCATGGCAAGACTGCATGATATATGTGCATAAGACAAGCTCTGGAAAATAAACTATTACATTTGAAACTGATTTCAACTGGGAGCTGTTGCTGTGTGTAATGTTCTCTGAGTTTTAGTGAGTTGATCATAAATAATAGAAATGAATAACCTTAACTGTAGAAATGATCTGCTCCTCAGTTTGTGTGTAACATTTAGGGCTAAGAGAAGACCAAGAACTGCAGGCTAAAGTTTATATTTATTATTTTTCTCATAATTCTTTAAATGTATTAAGTATGGGAAAAATCTGTTAAAGATTAATAAAACATTTCAACTTATATTCATTTTTTTTCAGAAGTTGGGTCTCTGAACTGGCAGCTCTCCAGGGCACATTATTTATTTATTTTTATATTAACACAATTTTTTATTTTTTTATTTAGGACCTTCATGTCAAAGTGAAAAAATAAAGTTAGATTAATTATTTCTTTAATAAAAAGACAAAATTTGGTTCAGGGCTTACTTAACAGACTGTATCCATTTGATCAACAAAAAAAAAAAGTTGACTGAGGGATTTATCTAAATTTGCAGCAATATATAGATGAGGTGTCAGATCCTTCATTAAGATCAAAAGAAGCTTCAAAATCACATTTAAGGTTTCCTCCTGAATCTCAGCTGCATTTGAAATGTTTTTTCTTTTCTTTCAGTGCTTTCAACTCCTCAAAGACATTCTTATAGAAGAAAAAATAAAGTTATAATTTTCATAAGAAATAAAAAAATATATATTCTTTTCCTATTTCCATTTTTTGACTGTAGCATATAAAAATCAAAATGAAATTTCTAGCAGACAGAAACACTTTCTTAAGTCTTGTTAGATTTTCAACTCCCTCCATCCATCCAATATTTTCACAGCAGATAAATAAGTCATATACAAATCTTTGGAGAAATTAATCCAAAGCAAAAAAAGAAAAAATGTTTTAACTGAAACACATTTCCCTGTCTTGTTTTATTAAGTTATTTATGAGGCATAACTAAACAGCCCGATTCTTCTTTAATTAAAACTTAATTAAGCAATGAAAAGCATGAAACCACCGCTCCCAAGCAACCAGCTCATGGGGTCGAGACCTCAGTGTAACAATGAAGCCCCTGTAGAATCCAGAGGAAGACTGAATTCACAGATTTAATGTAAACCTTCAAGCGGCTACAAAACAAGATGCTTATATCCAAGGATTAAAGTTTTATCTAATTCCTTAACTTTTTTTTTTTCTGGCAGATCTCTGCTAAACTATAAAACACCTAAAATCACAGGTTAATTACAGGACTTTGGATAACAATGTGTGAGATTAAATTACTCAAAGAGAAAACGCATTTATTTTTATCTTTATTATTATTTTTTTTTACTTTTAACGTGACATTTGGACGGGGAAGGAATTTGGAGATATTTGCGCAGAGTGACTCTGCCCCCTGTTGGAAAAATCTTCCCTCCCAGTCAGACTGACGACCAAATGAAAGGTAATAATAATAATAATAATAATAATAATAATAATAATAATAATAATAATAATAATAATAATAATAATAATAATAATAATAATAATAATAATAATAATATATTATGACAGTGTTGACGCAAATGACGCACAGTCCAGACTGAGTGACCATAGAATCTGTAATTAAAGTCTCCCTCTGAAGCACCTTGTTAGCAGGGCTGCATAGAGATAATTAAATCACCGCTCTGCGCAGCCTACGTAGTTTCTCCTCCTTATTGAATCACCTTGATGTGCAATCCGTCA